CAATTGATCCAATGAGCTGCAAGAGAAGGCTGCCCATTCAGCGAGCATGGAGGACATTCGACGCATTGCCCATTGACCCTAGACCACCGAAAGTTACAGTAGCCATCAAGAGAGAAGGCAAAGGAGCAGTGCACATCGCCAACTAATCGACGACTCACCAAAAGGATTAGGCGATCCCGACTTAGCTCACCCATTGGCCATTTCGAGTCACTTTTGGGCCCATCTATGTAATAATGCCTAATACTATAAAAAGGCCTTTAGGAGTTCATTTTAGGTTAGACCATTTTGAATATTGATGAATGATGAATTGAACTCCTTCTGTGAGTGTTTGAATGCTTGGTAAGCTTTTGTTGAACCTTTTTTAGAAACGTCAGTTGCTTCGGATATTGATTCCCTCGAGGTCATCGTAAGAGTTAGGTGCTTCTTGTTAGATTAAGGAATTGAGGTTTTTGGGTTTAATATACCCTTAGGTTGCTCTTTGTTTCCTCTTTTTATGTCTACCTATCTATCTTTTAATTTATGTCACCCTAAGCCCTAAGCCCTAAGCCCTAAGCCCTAAGCCCTAACCCCTAACCCCTAACCCCTAACCCCTAAGCCCTAAACCCTAACCCCTACACCCTAAACCCTAAACCCTAAACCCTAAATCCTAAACCCTAAATTCTAAACCCCATCGCAACTTCATTTCTCTAATTTTTTTCTCTCTCTACTTTCTCTTTCTGAAAAGAGCGCTTCCAAATATAGCCGTTGAAGGCTTTAAATTCAGCTTCTACGCGCACAGCCGGAATGGCGCGTGAGACGCCGCCGGAGCTCCCCAGACCTCCGGATGAATTGCAAAAGGGGCGCCTGAATGATAGCAACAAAACCCAGTTAGCCACTCTCTCTAATTCATCCCATAACTCCACGAAATTGCAAAACACAAATGCGATCAATACTGCGATTTCTGTTAAAGAGTTAGAAGGCACGCGAGAATTCATTTCCACAGGAGATAACACTTTGATTCGAGGAAAAGGGATTGGAAATATGGAATCTACTAATCTCGATCTACAACATAGCAAAAAACCAAGTGATTCCACCGTTCCAATCGCCAGAAATCGTGAGGCGATTTCTAAGAGAATCGCGAACTCGTCGCCAGAAATGTGCCCTCAAATTCGAGCTACCTCTAGCCAAATTCGAGCAGATTCAGTCACTGGGGATTACTCCCCTCATGATGAGGTTCATCTCCCAGAAAATTCAAGCAAAATGGATGGTGGAATCGTCGCCGGTGAGAATTCCGACAAAAACCGAATTCATGTCGCCAGAATATACGCAAAGGCTGGGAAAAGAAACTTATCCCCTCCGGTGGACATTCATCCATCAGAGATTTCAAGCAATTTGGATGAAGGAAACACCAATAATAACCAATCAATTCAACCTGCTGAAGTAATGTTGAATATGAATAAGGGAACCAGTCAAAGAGAGCAGGAAGTGGAACAAAATGACTCATTCCCAGCTGCATCAGTAGGACATAATGTTCATGTGGGAGCAATTGTTTCAACAGGGACAAAAACAATGCAAGAGGAAAATAATTCAATGCAGCAAATGAACTTACCTGAACAGCAGGCAATCGATCAGATCGCAATGAAACAGGCTTCAGCAAACCTATCTAAAGAAGCTCAATCTTCGAATTTTTCATTTGGGGTTGCAGGTAATTCACTGAACATAACTCCAAATTCCATTCCTTGTGCATTGCAGGACTCATCAACACAGGACAGACCAACTGAGGAACCTGGCCATGATCATCAGCAAAGTAAGGAACAAACAAGTTCAGGGCAACAAACCAAAGGCAAAGTAGTGCTGTTAGGTAAATCAAATAAGGAAAACAATGCACAAACTGATGCTACTAACGCTGATGCTCATTTACACAATGGGGTAAATGAGCAAATTAGTAGAATTGTTGAATTGTCGGAACAGGGAAACAAACAGGTTCAGAAAGCCAAGGAGGGCCAAATGGAGCAGCATAAGGACATAAATCAACCGGGAGGAACTACTAGGATCCAACAGGGCAATGACAGAGCTAACTTGGCATATCAGAACAACTTCCCTAAGATCTCCAACAATTATACTAGGTATGATCCTAACTCTCAGAGGAATAGAAATGATACTCATCAAGCTAATCATACGGCTGCTCAAGGAATTGTGAAACAACCAAACAAGCAGCAAACTGGACAGGCTCAAAATAATAATAAACAGGATATAATTCATGAACCTGCACCTTTCACTATTGTTCAATCGTTTGCTGCTCGCTTGAGATATAATCAATCAAAGAATGAAATTCCTATAGTTTTAGATAGTCCTGTTTTCACTACTAGACAAGGGCTGCCAGCAGTGCTGCTAGAAGAGGATGATTATAACATCAAACTTGCAGAAAGCTGTAAACACACTCTAGTGGGCAAGTTTACCAACACCATGCCTAAAATGGAGATCATTAGAAAGAGCTTTACCATTCAAACTCAGCTTACTGGAGGAGTTAAAATAACACACTATGACTCTAGACATGAGTACATTGATCTTGATAACGAGTTTGATTATGTTACGGTTTGGACCAAACAAAGGATGAGTATAGAGGGTCAATTAATGAGAATCCAAGCCTGGACCCCGGAGTTTACACCTGAAGAAGAGACCCCTATAGTTCCTATATGGGTTGCCTTACCTGAACTCCCTTGGCATTGCTACAACAAGGTCCTCTTGACGATTATTTTGAGCCCCATTGGCAAGGTTTTATATCTTGATTCACCTTCATCCTAGAAAACCAGGGGAAGTATGGCTAGGGTAAAGATTCAAATTGATCTTACCAAGGAGAGACCTCCACATGTTTGGGTGGGATTTAAGAATTCTGATCCCAACAAAGGAAGGTGGCAAAAAATCCAATATGAAGGAATCCCGGATTACTGTATGTATTGTAAACACCAAGGGCACATGGAAAATGATTGTACTATCAAAAGGAGAGATGAGGATTTCAAAAAAAAGAAAAGAAATGGAAACTGAAAAAAGGAGCAAGAATAAAGGTAGATACAACAGAAAGGTGGCACCAAAATTATACAAACTCATCACAGTGATATATCAGGGGCAACTACCAGTTCACAACATCAGCAACTTCCAGAAAAGAAAAGGGAGAATCATATACAAAATCAACATGGGCAGGAAATACCTGAACAAGAGGGCTAGTGGAAAACTCAGAAAAGAAAATAGAACAAAAACCAGGAACACTCCAACCCCAAGACTGCATGGAGACCTGTTTCTCCTAACCATAAAGACACCATGGACAACAGTCAAAAGGACCAAACTCCACCATGTATGTTATCTACAATTCCTACTCAAAATAATTATATTAATTTAGATTTACAGGAACAGCAGGACAAAGGCAATACTGAGGAGGGTCACAACAGCAAAAGTGCAGGCCAAGAACTTCTTTCAATACAAGGGTCAGAGATAGATCCATCTTTATTAAACCCTCACAACAATATAAATATGCAAGAGAAACAGGATGCTGCAACCACAAGTAACAAGATCCCAGGTATTGACTCAGTTCTCCCCATATCCCAACCCCCCTTTACTGAGCCTAGTGCGAATGTTGTAATTGCTGATGAAGCTGCTGGAGGTTTGGATGGGGGATGTAAGGAGAAGCCAACTAACTTGCAGGAAGGGGTTACCAAAGGGGGGAGTCTACCTCATGTTCTGCATGAGGAAATTCACCTCGACCATAGAACAGACTTTAGAGCTCCTGCTACCACTACTCTTATACAGAATAATCAGCACACCCCACAAATAAACAGACAAAAAGACAAAGGTATTGAGGGAACAGGAAATGGTGTTCTGTCTCAAACTCAGGCGTCTGGTACTAAACTGAAGGGTGCTGGTAATTCTCAGATTCAACAGGTATCAAGGGTTAATATATCTCAAGTCTCTCCTATTAATGAGAGTCCAGGGAACCACACTAACAACAGATCACAAGGCAAGCCAAGTAAGAAAAAAAGGGAAGCTATGAAGAGAAAACAACAACAAGAGGCTGAAAGCAATGGTAAGAATTTTCAGGGTAAGAAGGTTACAAGAAATCAGAATCAGAATCAGAGATCAGATTATGATGTCTTAAACTCTGAAGATGAATTTGATGAAGACAATCAGTCTCTCAATGCAGAGGAGGAAGATGAGACTAGTGCTCACCTGATTAAGGCCTTTGGATCCACTTTCCAGAGTAAGTCTCAAGCAGAAATCCAAGCTATTGCTGATCAACAATGTCTATCACCTAGAGGGAGGAAACAAGTCAGGCAACAAACCAGACAGGCCTCTATAAGTACATCTGCTAACTCGAGCAGAACCATTACTAGGTCCAAAAGCAAAGGTTTTTAATGATTAAAGCCATGTGTTGTAATACTAGAAGTATCAATCCCAAAGGATCACTGGAAAGGGTCCATAATCTCAAGAAAATTCATAACCTCTCTATGATTGCATTTCTTGAACCATTTTCAGATAATTCCCAGCTTAATAACTACAGAATTCAGCTCAATATGGACAATGTCTTCTCTAACCAAAATGGTAAGATTTGGTTTTTTTGGACTATTGACTACGACTGTACCAGCTTAGAATCTGATGACCAACAAGTGACCTGTGAGATGAAACACACAGGGAACCCTGAGAAATTCATGATCACTTTTGGGTATGCTAAGTGTAAGGATGAGCTCAGAAGGACTTTGTGGGACAGATTCATTCACTTGTCCACTGTGAAAATTCCTTGGTGTACAATAGGTGATTTCAATGTGATCATTTCTATTGATGAAAAGAAGGGGGGAATACCTTACAACATGAACAAGAGCTTTGAATTCATCAGTGTGATTGAAGCTAGTGGGCTTATTGATCTGGGATACAGTGGTTCTCAATACACTTGGTGTAATAATAGGGCTGAAGAAGCAAGAGTGTGGAAGAGACTTGATAGAGCTATGGTTAATGATCACTAGCTAGAAAAGATGCCTCAGACAGTTATAACACATTTACCCTCTGTAGGGTCTGATCACAATCCTTTGTTATTGGAAATGATTGACAAACAGGAGCACACTATCAAATACTTCAAGTTCCTACATCTTTGGGTGGAAAATGAAAACTTCATGAGCACTGTCCAAAACTGCTGGGAAAAGGAAGTTACAGGGGATCCTATGTGGTGCTTGCATCAAAAAATGAAGAGGCTGGTCTCCACTCTCAGTGCTTGGTCTAAAAGAGAATATGGGGACATATTTGCTACAGTTAAAGAGTTCGAAGAGAAGGTTAGAAATGCAGAGATAGATGTATTACATAATAATACTGCAGACAGTAGAACTAAGCTCCATTGTGTTAATGTTGGGTATATTAAATTTCTGTAAATGGAGGCTGCTATTCTTAAACAAAAGACTCAACTTCAGTGGTTCAGGGAAGGAGATGCCAATACAAAATATTTTCATGCTCTTATGAGAGGAAGAAGGAGAAAGTTATTCATCCACCAGATCAGTAATGAAAGTGGAGAATGGATACAGGGAGATGTTAATATTGCTGGAGCTGCCCTGTTAACACTTCCAAAATATTTTTACAGGCCACCAAGATAACATCAATGAGGAGATCCTTCAATGCATACCTAGACTGATCACTGATGAACAAAACCAGGCTCTAAAGGATGATCCTACTATTGATGAAGTGAAACTGGTGGTTTTTGCCATTAATCCTAATTCAGCAGCAGGACCGGATGGTACGAATGGAAAAATTTTCCAGGTGTGTTGGGACATCCTCAAAGAGGACCTCTACAGAGCAATGCTAGCCTTCTTCTGTGGTCACAATATGCCTAAATACATGACTCATACCTGTTTGGTTCTTCTTCCAAAGGTTGATCATCCCAACAAACTGTCTGAATTCAGGCCTATAAGCTTGAGCAATTTCTCAAATAAGATCATTTCCAAGCTCCTTAGTATCAGAATTGCACCTATCTTGTCAAACCGTATTTCAGAAAATCAGAGTGGCTTTGTAAGAGGTAGAAGCATTTCTGAAAACATTATGCTGGCTCAGGAGATCATTCATGGCATCAAGAAGCCCAAGGAGGGGGATAATGTAGTGATAAAGCTTGGCATAGCCAAGGCCTATGATAGAGTGTCCTGGGCTTATACTTGTATGGTCATGAGGAAAATGGGCTTTAGTGAATTCTTCATTGATATGATATGGAGGATTATGAGCAACAATTGGTACTCGGTTATTATCAATGGAGCCAGGCATGGATTTTTCCATTCTACGAGAGGTTTGAAACAAGGTGACCCTTTGTCACTAGCCCTATTTATTTTAGGAGCTGAAGTGATGTCAAGGATGCTGAACAACATTTATTTGAACCAGAACTATCAAGGTTTCCATATGGAACTTAGAGGCCCTCAGATAAACCATCTTAACTTTGCAGATGATGTTATTATATTTACCTCTGGCAAGAGACTTGGTATTCAACTTATTATGAAGACCCTGACTACTTATGAACAAGTCTTTAATCAACTTATTAACAGAGACAAGAGCCATTTCATGATTCCTGTGGACTCTCCCCAAGACATTACTGATATGATTAAAGAGGAAACTGGTTTTACACAGAAGGACAGTCCGATTAACTATCTGGGATGTCCTTTGTATATTGGAGGACAGAGAATCATCTATTACTCCCAGCTGGTGGATAAGGTGGCTAAAAGGATCTGTGGGTGGCAAGCTAGGTTGTTAAATTTTGGAGGTAGATTAACTCTAGTGAAACATGTTCTTCAGTCCATTCCCATTCACACCATGGCTGTTATTTCCCCTCTCAAAACCACTCTTCAATACATAAAAAGTTTAACTGCAGATTTCTTCTGGGGAAGGGAAAAAGATAAGAAAAAATATCATTGGGCTTCTTGGGAGAACATCACCTTTCCTTATGATGAAGGTGGTCTGGAAGTAAGACACCTAAAGGATATATGCACTTCTCTCCAGTATAAACAATGGTGGTAGTTTAGAAGTACTCACTCATTATGGGGACAATTCATCAAGGCCAAGTATTGCCAAAGAGCTAATCCAGTCGCCAAGAAGTGGGATACGGGTCAGTCATTGGTTTGGAAGTATATGAGCCAAAACAAACCCCTGGTAGAAGAGCACATCAATTGGAAGATACACTCAGGTACCTGCAGCTTCTGGTGGGATGATTGGCTAGGGGATGGTCCTCTTGCTCATCATACCAATAAAAGCACTAGACTTAACAACACTACGGTCTCGCAATTCATTCTTAATTGAGGGTGGAACGAGAATATGGTTAGACAACATGCACCCCCCTTGTTGATCCCAAAATTTTTGAAGGTACAGATTCAGTTTCAAGAAGGAGTTGCAGACCAACCAATATAGAAGCTTACCGATAATGGAAAATTCACTTGTGCCTCTGCATGGGAGAGTATCAGAAACAAGAGACCAAGAAGCAAGCTGCACAAATACATTTGGCATAGACACATTCCCTTCAAGGTCTCCTTTTTTTTATGGAGAGCTTTGAGAGGGAAACTTCCTACGAATGACAGAACAGCTGCTTTTGGAGTAACTCCTGCAAGGTGCTCTTGCTGCATCAAGTCGGGATGGGACACTATTGATCACATCTTTGCCACAGGACACTTTGTTAACCACATTTGGCAACTTCACTCAAATATGTTTGGAATTAGGCAGGACAGGATCCCCCTGAGGAATCTAATCGCGAGATGGTGGACCATGGAATATAGAAATGATGTTCAGAAACTACTGTATCATGCAATGCCTATCATTATCAGCTGGAACCTCTGGAAGAATAGGTGCTCAGCTAAATATGGAGGGAAACAATCTAGCATCACAAGAGTCAAGTTCATGATCTTTAAAGACATCTCCCTCCTCCTCAATACTGTCTTTCCCTATCTGCAATGGCCTAGCTCTTGGCAGGAACTTCTCAATTATGTCCAGCAATGCTCTCATGAAATAGGAGTCAGACCTGTCATCTGGAGCAAACCACCGGTAAACTACTGTAAATTGAACACGGATGATAGTGCATTAGCGAATCCTGGCATGATAGGTGGGGGAGGCATCCTCAGAGACCAGGCAGGGGATATTATTTTTGCATTCACAGTACCTCTTGGTACAAGTACCAATAACCAGGCAGAAGTTCAAGCAGTTGTATTTGGTCTTAACTGGTGGTATCAACATGGCTACAGGAAGATATTTGGTCTTAACTGGTGCTATCAACATGGCTACAGGAAGGTTGTGGTAGAAGTAGACTCAGAACTACTCACTCACTGGCTAAATCTCAATATTAATCCTCCATGGAAGATACAACAGTATGTTCAGGAACTACAAAACCTCAGTCAACAGATGGAAGCATTCCAATGCCTCCATACCTACAGAGAAGCCAACACCACGGCTAACTTTCTTGCCAAGTTGAGTCACCAGAAAGATATTCCTCAACTATTTTACACTCTCCACCAACTACCTATTCCGGTCAAAGGAAGCTACTTATTGGAGAAGATGGGTATGATCAATTTCAGAAGAAGGAAGCTGAAAAGGATTAACAAACCACCTTGATCAAGGTTTCCCTCCCTTTTCAACTTGACTATGTCTAGAAGTAGGTATTAGTTTTTTTGAATAGGCTTTTTCTCTTTCGTTTGTAAGGGGAGAGTCTCCCTTATTTATATTTTTCCTAGTTTCCTTGTATTGAGAGGAGTCCTCTCCTTAGGTGCTTAGAACTAGGTTTCCTTTTAATAGCATGGGGATGAGTTGAATATCCTTAGTAGGAAATTCGACCCTTGAACCAACATCGGACCGGAGGTAAGGTTTTATGTCCCCCTCCTTGTACTTATTTTGTTTTATTTATGTTAAGGCCTGGGGGTGTTGCTAAGCCCCTGACCCACCCAAGGGTCATTAAAAAAAATAAAAAAATAAAAAAAAAGCTAAACCCTAAACCATAAACCTAAAGCCTAAACTCTAAACCCTAAACAATAAACCCTACACCCTAAACTCTAAACCCTAAACTATAAACCCTAAACCCTAAACCCTAAACATGTAACCCTAACCCTCAACCCTCAACCCTCAACTATTGTATCCACATTCTCAATATGTACATTATAAAAACATGAAAAAGAACTACATGATAATATAATGTAACTCAAGGCACAAGAGTCAACACTAAGTGGACAAAAATTATTATACAAGAAGAATCTACTCTAATGTAATTCTCACAAGGAGAATCACAAAAAACAGTGGAAACAAAAGAAAGATAGAAGAAGAAATACAAGATAAGAAACAATTGGCAACTAAAGAAGGTATTAAATCCAATAACCTCCAATCTAGATCCTAAGAAGTACCATATCAAGATAAATAGATAGACACACAAAGAGGAAACAAAAAGCAATTAAAGGGTATATCAAACCCAATGACCTAGATCCGTAATCCTACAATAGCACCTACCTCTTACGAACACTTCAAGGGAATCGATATCCCAAGCAACCCTCATTTCTAAATAATGTTCAACAAAAGCTTACCAAGCTTTCAACACTCACACAAGGAGTTAAATTTATCATTCATCAATATTCAAAATAGTCTAACTCTAAATGAACCCTAAGACACCTATTTATAGTGTAAGGACTTATTACATAAATGGGCCCAAAAGTGACCCAAAATGGGCCAATGGGTGAGCCAAGTCGGTCTCACTAATGGCTCGGCGATGCGCCCAATGTGGTCGGTGAGGAATCATGTTCCTTGCCTTGGCTGGGGAGCTACTGGAAATTTGGGCGATCTGGAGACCATCGCCCAATCAACTTGGCAATGCGCTGATGATCTTCAGCTCGCCTAATGAGCATTTTTCCCCTTCATAGCTCCTTGGGCAAGTTGGCCATCTTGGAACCCTCCTCACCAAACGGCTTTGGAGAGTCGCCTAGGTGTCCTTCAGCTCGCCGAATAGAGCACACTCTTCACTTGCTCCTCCTCTTTTCGTTTAGGCCTCCCATGCTCCAAACTATCATCCAAGCATGGTGTTGCCCAACTGGGAGCTCCTTCAAGGTGCATATGTTCCCATGAAAGGCATGTAACTCCCTCATTAGCATCCATACATGCCAAACAACCTCCATCCTTGTGAACACTCCATCAAAGCATTGAAGTTCTTGAATGGATAGGCTTGATGTAATCCATTTTACATCATACTCGGTCATCACTAGGATAAACTAGTGAATGAACACTCTCACCAAAATACATTACCACTATGTGGCAGAGAATTGTTAAGCTCACATGAAACCAAGATATCACGTATATTCAATTGGCTGCTAGCCACAAAATTGATAGTGAACTAGCTTTGCCAACCAACTCAAGGTCACATATTCTTTGTCATGGAGTGGATTCTTTTGACTCTAGAAGAAGGATGATCCGAAAAAAAGGTAAACTCTAAACCCTAAACCCTAAGCCCCAAACCTTAAACACTAAACCCTAAACCCAATACCCTTAACCCCAAACCCTAAACCCTAAGGAATGGACAAAAAATGAATTTACAAGAAGAAGAAGAAATGAATTTGGACAGAGAAAAAATTTTAAACCCAAAACATTCCCATACTTAGCCAAATTTTGAGGCTGAAATAAAAGAGTTCAGAAGAAGAAATGAATTTGGACACTTAGAAAAAAATTTACTCCCTAAACCCTAAACTCTAAACACTCTCAACAAATACATTATCACTATGTAGCAGAGAATCGTTAAGCTCACATGAAACCAAGCTATCACATATACTCAATTGGCTACTAGCCACACAATCAATTTCTGAGTTTAAGGAAGTGCAAGAATAAGAATTGTTACCTTCTAGCTCATAAGGTGAAGTTTCTTCACCTTAGTTGTGCAACTCCTTAAGTTCTTCATCACGATGAGTAGTACCCTTCAATTGTCTTTCTAATTCATCGGGTGTCATCTCAGTAACTAATTGAATAACCTTTTCAATATTTCCTTGTATTGAAGCAAACAAGTAATGTGTGCTCATAGAACATGAATCTCGATAGCGAAATGAAAATGATCCCTCCCTCAGACCTATAAACCTAAACAAACAGGTCAGTAGAAAAATTATTCACACCACTCTTCTATGGCGTCATCTCAAAATAGATAGTGAACTAGCTTAGCCAACCAACTCAAGGTAACATATTCTTGGTGATGGAGTGGATTCTCTTCACTCTTAAAGAATAATGATAAAAAAAAACAAAAAAAAACTAATGGACATGAATCAAGAAGGTTATCAACAAACTAAGATGAGACAATAACAAAAAGATTGGACTCAAAACAAACTAAGTAACAAAAGTAGAAAAATTACGTGTTATTACTTAATTTGAAGGTTCAACGAACTAATTTGCTGATTAGAAACTAGTTAAAAAGTAATTAAAGATGTTAATTAAAAGTTAAATAATTGAGGAATAAAGAAAAATAAGTGTGGAAGAAGAAGAAGTGAATTTGGAAACGTAAAAAAAAATTAAGCATCAAAGAAGTTCATCTCTTGTAAGATTTTGATTGCATAATTTGATGATTAAAACTAGTTAACAAGTATTTCATGATCTTAATTAGTAATAAAACAGTTAAGGGATGGATGAAAAATGAATTTAGAAGAAGAAGAAATGAATTTGGATATAGAGAAAAAATTTTAGGCCAAAAAAACTCCCATACTTCGCCTAATTTTGAAGCTGAAATAAAAGAGTTCAGAAAAAGAAATGAATTTGGACACTTAGAAAAAATTTAATACCTAAGCCCTAAACCCTAAACACTAAAACCCAAACCCTAAACCCTAAACACCTAACCCTAATCCCTAAATCCTAAACCCCAAACCCTAAACTGCAAACCCTAAACCCTAAACCCTAAACCCCAAACCCCAAACCCTAAACCCTAAACCCCAAACCATGAACCCTAAACCTAAATCCTAAACTCTATACCCCAAACCCTAAACCCTAAACCCTAAACACTACACTCTAAACCCTAAACCCCAAACTCCAAACCCTAAACCCTAAACCTAAAACCCCAAACCATAAACCCAAAACCCAATACACAAAACCTCAAAACCAAACTTGAAACCCTAAATCCTAAACCCTAAACCCTAAAGCCAAAATTCTAAACCCAAAACTCTAAACCCTAACCCTAAACACTAAACCTTAAACCCTAAACCCCAAACCCAAAACCCAAAACCACAAACCTTGAACTCCAAACCCTAAACCCTATCCCAAAAATCTAAACCCTGAACCCTAAACCTTAAACCCCAAACCGTAAATCTCAAACCCTAAACCCTAACCGCGAACCCTAAACCCTTTACCCCAAACCCTAAACCAAAAACCCTATACCCAAAACCCTAAACACTACCCTAAACACTAAACCCTAAATGTTAAACCCTAGACCCTAGACCCTAAACCCTAAACCCTAAACCCTAAACCCTAAACTCTAAAACCTTAACCCTAAACCCAAACCCCAAACCCAAACCCTAAACCCTAAACTCTAAATCGTAATTCCTACACCCTAAACCCTAAACCCTAGTGAGTGGCAAGCTAGGATGTTAAATTTTGGGGGTAGATTAACTCTAGTGAAACATATCCTCCAGTCCATTTCCATTCACACCATGGCTGCTATTTCCCCTCCCAAAACCACCTTCAATACATCAAAAGATTAAATGCTGATTTTTTCTGGGGAAGATAAAAAGACAAGAAAAAATATCACTAGGCTTCTTGGGAGAACATCACATTTCCTTATGACGAAGGTGGTCTGGAGGTCAGACACCTCAATGATATCTGGACTTCCCTTCAGTATAAATAGTGGTGGCACTTTAGAAGTACTAATTCCTTATGGGGGCAATTCATCAAGGCCAAGTATTGTCAAAGAGCTAATCTTGTGGCTAAGAACTGGGATATGGGTCAGTCATTGGTTTGGAAATATATGAACCAAAACAAATCTAAGGTAGAAGAGCACATTATTTGGAAGATTCATTCTGGTACTTGTAGTTTTTGGTGGGATGATTGGCTAGGAGAAAGCCCTCTTGCTCATCATACCAATGAAAGCACTAGGCTCAACAAAACTATTGTCTCTCAATACATACTTAATGGAGGGTGGAATGAGAATATGGTTAGATAGCATGCACCTCCCTTGATGGTTCCAATGATTTTAAATGTGCAAATTCAGTTTCAAGAAGGTGTTGCAGACCAACCTATATGGAAACTTACTGATAATGGGAGATTCACTTGTGCTTCTGCATGGGAGAGTATTAGAACTAAAAGGCCCAAAATCAAGTTGTACAATTATATTTGACACAGACACATTCCCTTCAAGGTCTCCTTTCTACTATGGAGAGCCTTGAGAGGGAAACTTCCTACAAATGACAAAACAACTTCATTTGGAGTGGCCCTTGTTAAGTGTTCCTGTTGCATCAAGCCTGGATGGGATACTATTGACCACATTTTTGTGACTGGATATTTTGCTAACCACATTTGGCAATTTCATTCAGTTATATTTGGTGTTAGACAGGACAGAGTTCCTTTGAAGAATCTGATCACGAGATGGTGTACCATGGAGAACAAAAATGTAT